CAATCACGATGCCAATTGCACCGTTGAGATGATCGAGTGGAACGATTCCACCCTGTATGTTCTTCGGGGCTGCGAGCTGACTTGAGATTGTTTGTATTCGGAGATGACAGGGAACGCGCGAAATCTGAAGTCTGTGTTTAACGCGTTCACTGGCATGCTGGTACTATTGAAAATTATAGTTATAGTAGCTTCATCGGATTTCAAGAAATTCATTAAAATTTTCTTTTCTTTGACACTTTTAGAATTAATTTGTTTAGTTTTTCAGTGAAAAGCACTGTCAACCATTCGACCTTCTATGTCTGTTAAAGAAAACTGTCTAAATCGAACGATAGGTTTGATATTTTCAAATAAATGTTTCATTATAAATACCTTCAAGTGTAAAGTTTTTTTTATGTACATATTCATAACGAATTTATTTGAAAATATCATTTAATTTAAACAGATTTATTTGATAGGAATAGATGGTACGAATATTTATTTAAGGAACTGACTGTCCTTTTGCGCTCTAATGGCGCCTCTAGGGCGACATATGTAATTTAAAAGTGATTTTTTGACCATACAATTTTAATTTTACTTGTATCAGAATACAGCTAATTCCTTTTCGAAGTAGAATTTTTAGTTTCACAGAAATTTATTATAAAAATAAACTGGATTCGATTTTACAGAAAAATGCCTCGAGCGTAAAGGGTTGAATTGCTACCTGACACCTAAGCTAAGCTCGGTAGATTCATTCGCCGTCCAGCTCGTTGATAGATTCCCGTACCTACCCCAACGCGGCTCCATCGCCCGAAGAGATCCCAGTTCCTCGAGAGACAAGAAACAACCCACCGAAAGGTCCCCCAACCCTTGAACAAACGAAGAAGCAAGTTCGCCGAATCTTGAACGACGATCGGACAATCCCGGCTCGAGATCAGTCGCAACCCCAGAGCAATGCTCAAAAATCGGCGCGCAATTAATACAAAACGAGGTTTGCCAGTGCCGTCGTCTGATTGAATCCCGGCGTGGGCGGTGCGGGAGCCGTCCAAAAGGAGTCCCGGCAACCGGATTCGAGGCAACATTAATACCGAAGCGCGTTTAAATATTTACAGAGCCGAGGAGGTTCCATTGAACGCGCGGCGACGAATCAGGCCAGCCCTCAGAAAGGGGTGAAAAAGTCTCCTTCTGGCTCCTTTCTCCGCGGCTGGCTGCTCTGATGAATTTTTATGCTTCATCCGCGTTAGCTCGTCGCCGGGGCGGCAGCGCGATTTAGCGAAACACGGGGCGAAGAACGACACGGAGGGGGGGAAAGGGAGACACGGCTGATGAAGGCTCAGGAATATGCAAACGCGTGCAACGTCCCCCCGAGCATCAGCTGTGTGAATTACGACCGCGGCACATATTATTGTTCCCGGTTTCCGGGGTGAAAACTCATCCGGCACACGTACAAAGCGCGCCGACGTGTCGCTAAAGGGCCGACGAAAAAATATTGCGCCGCGAGCTCGAACCGACGTCGGGGATCGCGTTAGCCTCGGCTCGCGATAACGCCGATTCGACCGGGGATTTCTTTCCGCCGGTGCACACGTGGACTGTTAATTGCTTCTGGGCTCGATGCGTCCAGAGATACACGGAGGATGGTTTGGGTGTGATCTGTATGGTTTCACGGACGTGGGAACAGGGATGGCGCTAACTGGAGCATCAGGGTTTGAATGGGATGATTGGCTAGGTCTCCTGACTTCTTTAGGACTTCCGCTGGCTTCTTCACGTTGGAATTGGGATTTTTCATTTAATGAGACTACTTGGAGTTCATAGTTAGACTGGATTCTCATTGTATGAGGAGTGGATTTCCCTGAAGTGACATGGCACATTGATAGGTATTATAGTAGGAAGCTACGCGAGGTTAAAATATGTGTCTGATCAGTATTTTCATCTTGGACATCTTCACAGAAGATGTTATACTGACACAGTCAGTCCTACAAATATTCGTGTTTTTCTATCTGAAAAATTTATCTAAATTTAACGACAGCCTTGATCTTTCCAAATAAATATTTCACGTTCGTATATTCACAATGAAGAATTTTGGAAGCATCAAATTTGTTATTTAATTTAGACAAATTTCTTTAATAAACATAGAGAGTACGAGTATTTATAGTAGCGCTGATTGTATGTTATAGTACACAGTCAAGCCAAGTACGTGACTATCATCATCCTCGAGTAGCGAATCAATATCAGACCTCATTAAACCCTTTAACCTGTAACAACGTGCGAGGCTCGTGGTACAGAATTTGAGTAGAAGATGAAAGACACGAGTCAGGCACGTCTCAATAATTTTATACTTAATTAAAGTTACGATCCTACGGTAAATTGAAGGTCAAAGGATAAATAGATTCACTAACAGGTCCCATTTCCATTTCATGAAGAGCATTAATTTCGCTCATAACGTTCAAGCCTGGGCCAGACAAAAATGAGACGCTAGGTATAATAGCTGGTCCATCCCAGTGCCGGTAGGTTGACTAATGACCGTTGAGTAGAACTGATTGCTCCGTAATCCATCTCGTGTCTTCCCAATTGCTCCAGACTGATAACTGATGTCTGATCGATCTTGTCGAAGCCCCATTGCCGTAGGAATTAGTAGCCAACCTATCTCTGAACAAGCGTTGCCTGCTGAGGCTCGAATGCATCACGAGGATTGACTAATTTGAGCGATAATGACGAGTGGGTAGGATCCTTCCAGGTCGACGATCTTCATACTTGAGGAATCCTTGATACTGACATGTCGGTTCAACAGTATAGGGATCATAAGCTGACCTTAGCCGATTCATCAATCATATTTATATTATTATAATAATTAGGTTATGTCTGGAGTTTATTTGATGTCTTCATCCTGATGTGAACAGATGAAGTCATCATCCCCCTGATCACACCCTGACTGCCTCATCTGTTAACTGCTAACTCGATTGGATCTGATGATGTTCTATCAGTACAAGTGCACGTCATCGATCTTTCATTAAATCTTGACCCCTTTTATTCAGAATACTCTCCTAATCCTGAATACTATCACCAACCAATGAATCAATCCTTGAAGTAGAACCGATTGGTCTCAAGCTTCCTGTCGTCTCTATTGGAGGATGAAGTACGAACTCTTGGAACTCGATTGCTCCAGGACAGTGAGGCCTAGAACCTTCTAACTGCCTATCAACTCGATTGGTTCTACAGACTGTTGATGCCCTATCACTACAAGTGCCCACACCTGATCCTCCATTAAACCTTGATTATCCCTCTTCTGAATCCTGAATACTCTCACCAACCAATGAATCAATCCTCGAGCAGAACCGATTGGTCTCAACCTTCCTGTCGACTCCGTCTAGAATCTTCTAACTGCCTATCGACTCTGATTCAATCTCCCTTACATCACCAACAACCCATCAACCCACGAATGAGCTATAGTCTGCCAACACTTGATCACCATAAGTTGTTCGCAGCTGACACGTATCCGATTAAACGTAGCCGAGGCTGAAATGCGTCTACAACCGATGCGTTATGCGCCGGCTATTGACTCCAGCTGATTCAATCCCGGATCTCCCTGACGCCTGCCCGATAGCGTCAACGTATGTTAACCGATACCTGAATGAATCGCGGGGACAGTGGAACCTAATTACCACAAGAGTTGTCAGCCGACAGATCTGCGATGAAATGCCGGTCTGCGGAAGCCTGTAATAGCTTCCTAACTAAAGACTGTCCTACTAAATGAACCGCCTGCAGTGGCAATTAATTCGAGCAATTTGGGACCGAGGTCCGGGGACACGGGACGGAATCCTTCCACTTTTGACGCTGAACTCGAAAACGGTAAACACAGTTACGGAACACCGGCGTAAATTGCCCTCTCGTTAATTATAACGCGGGAGGATTAGGTCCGACGCTTTTCGTCCGGTTTCGGCGTAAAAAAATAAGAGGGATCGAATATGTTTACCTTAATAACCGTAATCGCGTTTGACTCGCGGCGAAAACAGGGAAGACGGGGGGAAAAGCGAACCGGCAGGACGGCCAATTAAAAATTTCGAGGATCCGCGACCCCGTTAAAAATAATTACGCGGCAAATTGAACGCTCGTTGCGCGCGAAACTGCTAGCTCGCGGTTCGGAAACCGCGCCCACGCCCTTTCATTCGACTCGTTCGAACAGCTACCCCCATCTCCCTCCCTTCCCGAACCCGTTGTTACACGTGGTCCAGTTTATTTTGAAGTATGCGCTTCATAGCGAGCGTGCACAACTAGTTCGTCGCGATAACGCCGCTTCCGCTTCGAACTACGTGAATTCAACCGTGTGATGCTTGTTTATTCCAGAAGAACTGGTAGACAGCGCTCCCGCTGTTATTACTGAAACCGCGTAGTGTAATACGCTAGTAGCGGAGTTGTGTCGCTCGCTGATGTAAGAGACGAATCGCGCGGGGTTGGAGGAAGTTTGGAAACAATTAGAGGAATCGCTTTTCTGAGCTCCATCGGGGGAGGAAAAGTTAGAGTTTTCCTGCCTTCTGGATCATGCGACCTGTCGCATTGTTAAAGGAGGAAAAGTCAGGGAGCCAGGCGATCCTCTTACTAGATCGCTTTATCGATACTTTAAGAGTCTTTGTATGTTTGGTTTCAAATTGCTATCGACTCGTGCTTTTCGAAGATGGCCTTCTTTGCCATTAGATCCCTAGCGATTCCATAGTCTATTAGTTTCTCTGGAAATTCCATGCCGATTTTTAGTAGATGTATATTTGGTAGATGTATATAGATATATCGGAATGATTGAAAAGAAGTAACGTGTGTACATCCCTTAAAAGGTGAAAAGGGAGAAAATGGTACCTATGTAATTGAATAAATAATTGCGTGACACAGAATTACTGTAAGAACCGCATAATACCGATTTCCTAGAATCCGCTAAATATGTTACACGAAGTGTCAGCTAAGGCGATTAGGCGGTCATAGAGTGACTCATGAATAATAAAATGGATTCCGGAACAATTTTCAGCAAAGAAGATTACCTTCGTACACCCAGTCTGGCACTCCATTATAAATGGTCCCGAACACCCCGGTGTCCGTGATTTGATAGTCGACAGCCTTCTCCGCTTCCGGTCTGTAATAAATGTTGTTCTGGTAGACGTAGACCAACGCGTTGCCATGTGGCGCCCAGGTCGCCAGCTGCAGGGAAATGGAGTCGTTCGTCGTCAGCGACGTTTCCACGCTGGAAAAAACAGGTTTAAATATTTTTAGCCTCGTTCCGACAGTGTACACTGCGGATACGCAAACGTTAAATTAAATAGACGGTGATAAACCTTTGGTACAGTCGAACCTACTCGAATCTGCTGAACAAAGTTTAATCATATTAGGTTGTTCCGAAAGTGTCTTTCGTGACTTGCAGTCAGTTGTTTTGTGTAGCAGTGTTTATATAAATAAAGAACCTAATTGCTTAGAAACTTTAGGAAGGAACTTAGGAAGAAACTTTTGGGAGAACCTAATAGTTCGACTTAGAAAAGTGTGCGACACGGTTGGATTCGGTTTGACCAGAGGTAAAATTTAGATTCGATTTGGCTAGGTTACGGTTCGCCAGGCGCCTTCGCCGAGCAATATTAGTAAAACGAGTCTCGGCGCAGTAAGGGGTGTATAAAGCAGAGAGAAGAGAAAAAGGAAGAAACGTTTGTCGGTATCGTTCGGAATTCTGTAACCTTCGCCGATAAAACGCCGCGATATAAATGGACGAGGGCACTGGTACGTGCAGTAACAAGCAGCTATTCGATCCATTCTATCAGAATTGCTCGAAGGAACTGCCGGTGCCGCGATACGAACAAAGCCGAACGCGGGTAAACCCCGGCCGCAAGCGTGCTCTCGATGCCGCGATTACCACGAATGCATATATGCTTTCGCCGGGTTCCTGAGGATCCTTATTTTAGGAGCAGTAAAAGCAGCTCGGACGTAAACCAAAGCACTATGTCCGTCGAGATTGCCGCGTTACCGGAAACGATCCCCACGGAGGGGATTTCTTCTTTCCGATCTCTTGGCTCGTCGCTTGATTAATATTTATCTCGATCCGTGGAATCGATAACCGTGGATGGGCTCCGCCCACTCGCGGTCGGGCTCTTCTGCATCTCCGCGGCTTTGATTGCTAATTGAACGAGAGACGTCCGCGGGGGGTGCTTTTGTTAGTTGGTACACGCATTTCGAGAAAAAAAATGTAGATGGATTCAATTCCGTTTTACGACGCAAGACCGTTTTACGAGATGTTGTTAGGGGATCCGTTTCAGCTCTCGAGGATTTTTGCCTCGCGCGGCTCTTCACGAACTTTGAATATGGAAAATTCAGCCGATCCGTTTCAGACTTTGAGCGCGATCGAAGGATTACCAGGAACGGGAATAAATAACTTCTCATCGCCGCCGAAAATGGAACATTCCTGGCGCGTGTCCGCTGTCGAGGATAATGATCCGGAGCGTTGAAACGGATGAAACGGACGAGTAATTTTTGTGCCCGTTTTTCCTCGGTGGCAATTGAATCGATCGTGATCCTTTTATATTTATGAGACGCGCGAAGGTATCGTCGGGATACGCTAATGGCTTTTAAAAGTGCCGGGCTGAAAGTGTATCCAGTTGGCACGGCTGAAAAGCTAAGTAATAAAGAACAGCGTGTGCGTTACATTATTTCCCTTTTAGAATTGAATCCGCATGCCAAGCAGATATACGCATGTAGCGCCGTTAAATTCCCTAGAAACTAAATGGCGGCTTAAGGAATTTACGAGAGGAGGCAGAGAACTTAAGGAGCCACGCTTGATTTTCTTCCTAACGTCTAGGGGAGATAACCTCGAGGTAATGCTGGAATATTTTTACCCTAAGTCTTGCGCTGTCGCGATTTGTGAATCAAAGCTACGTTACAGCCGTAGCCGTGCGTATGTAAATGGAGTGGGTTGGCTTGTTGGGTGTTAGCAGACTATTGGTGGTTGGAAAATTAGGTTTGCAGCAGTATCAAGTTGTCAGAGTTAGGAAAGATGCTGGGGTACTGGTGGTGTGTTATTTGGAGTAGAGAGTAATTCTGTGCACTTATACATTCATGAGTCTAGTTTAAGTACGTCAAAGTATTAGGTTGTCCGAAAAGTTTCTTTCGTGAGTTGCATTCAATTATTTTCTGTGGCAGTGTTTATATAAATAGACAATCTAATTTCTTAGACATTGATACTGTAACAGTAATGGAGCGGAATGAATTGTACACAATTTTGTAATGTAACATAGAACATAAAATATTGTGTATGAATTAATTATTAATAAAACGAAAGAAACTTATGGGACAACCTAATACTTCCATTACAGTAGATTTAATAATACATGGAGTCAGTCTCACAAGTATTCGTACCTTCAATGTCTATTGGAAAAATTTACCTAAATTAAATTAGAGGTTTAATGTTTCAGAATAAAGTTTTCATTAGAAGTGTTATTCATATACATATTTATAATGAAACATTTATTTTGACAGATCAAACCTGTCATTTAATTTAGACAAATTTCTCCAATCCAGGGTACAAATGGGACTGACTGTAACTTCAAAATTTTTGTTTTTATTATTGACAGCAATTATAATTATAAAAAAACTAAATATCCACATATGTGGCCAAGGGTGTGAAGAGGTTAAATCTCAACCTAATGATCGCTGTGCAATGCATCTACAATAATCTACATATATACCAAATTTATTCTAACAATACTCTTGTCATATTTACAAACGAATGGTAAATTTGCATCAGCCGCACAGAATTACTTTCCACTTCTAATATTAGTCCCTGATCTCTCGCCAGAGTCCAAGTACCATAAAAGCAACCGTCGTTTTCATAGCAAAAATAATCGCGCAGTTTGTCGAGGCATTACTCTATGTGGCCGGTCTCGGATCAGAATCCGCGAAGTAATGGCGAAGCGGTCCGGCTCGATAACGATCGTTGATCGAGCGAGCGGATGGTCACGTAGTACGAGAGGAGAAAAATAATTTTCTAACGATCTCGGTGTACCGTCTGGACCGGAATTTCACGTAACGAGCCTTAACCTGTATCAACAGAAAAGGAATAAGTCTCCGCGAAGAAGGCGGGGGATCACCAGAAGAGGAAACGTCGGAGGGATAAAAGGAGCGGCGAATATCGCGCGACCGAGGGATTTTATAGAATTTATAAAATGTACCATGCCAGCCACGCAGAGCGGGGAAATCGATGGAAAGTTCCGCGACTCCGGCTGTCGTGATGCCAGAGCTCCTCCGCCCAGCTCCTCCACTCAAAGGGAACTTCTTCGTGAAAACCCATAAATAAAGACGCGGGTATTCATGTAGCGTACAAACCGGGTTTATGGTCGAGACCCGTCCGTTTCGCTACAAAGTGCACGGATACACGTTCGACTGGCTGGATCGCCTGTATCGATCCTCGATTCCACCTGCGAAGGGGGCCACCAAAGCGGCGCGATTTATATCCCGTAATTGATAAAATGATACGCGTCCGATACGAACAATGATTACGAAAATCTGGGAAGCCACTAAACCGAATCAACGGCGTGAATAAAAGATGCGTTCGACGTTTGGAGTTTACTATTTAGATCGAATTAAATATGTAGGTTGAACATTACACCGGTCGGTGCAAAATTGCGTGCCTAGATATCGGATTAAATGGCGGAACGTCGAACTGCACGCACGAGTGTTAAATTTCACGACCGGAGGTGCAGACTTTCGTGCATTTTAAGTCTCACGCGTTACTATTGAAGCGGGATTACATTTACCGAGCAACACTTTTCATTTTGAGACGCGACGTAATATTTTTACAGAATTCTTTGTCGGTCCAACTTTGTTTCTGATAGATTTCATAATGGTATGTTATAGTCTTAAAATATGTTAGGTAGACCGGGAAGTAATATCGTTTCTTCTACATTAAATTCAAACAAATTTTTAATAAATTTCTATTTTCAATCAATTACGTAATCGCCCTCGTTATCAACATTCTTTTGCCATCTAGTGTTCAAATTTTCAATGCAATAAAAATGCGATAAAAATCAACGAGCTGATGAGTACTCTAAACAAGTATTTAGAATTGCAAAAACGACGTTACTTTTCAGTCCACCTAATAATATAGAATGTATATCAGATTTCACAAAGTTTGAAATCAGTCTGGGGTTTAGAGAGTCTCCTACGTCACTTGTCGTTTACGGGAATATTCCTGGCGAGTTTTCGAGATGCCAGTCAATTGCATTTACCTTCCAGCAACCAAAATGTTTCGACTGTTTCGCGCAAGGCAATCTGAGTTAATCCGGGAAGCCTCGAAATGAAACACAAATGCAAAATAAACCAGGAGCAGCAAATGCTCCGAGTAAACCCGTGAAATTCAATCAAAATATTCCCAACGCGTAGAGGCAGCTCCGCCTAACTTCTGTTTAACAGAAACTCGTTCGTGACAATAGGGTATCGTTTAAGCATTATGCGCCGAAATTTCTTTAATCCACCCCTCCATTAACTACGTTGTCTCAATCGACTAACTCGCGGAATACCTGACGTACCGTGGGACAAAATTTTCACCTCGCACCAGAGGTGCTTTACTCGGAGACCACGGAGCATGGCAGAAGGATACCTCTATGAAATAATAATTATGTTTTCCTGGTGGTTCTACGCTAACTAAATAAATTTTAAGCGGATTACAAGCCTACGTAATTTGGAGCTATTCATCGATAAGTGTCGCAGGGTTAAGAATACCTCGCGACACTTATCGATGGAAGAACGTGAAATGCAGTTGCATGAACTGCGTTTATATTGAGGCCTACAACTATGAAATAATAATTATGTTCTCTTGGTGGTTCTACGCGAACTAAAT